TTTTTTTTTGAAATAGAAAGGAAGACACAAAACTTAAAGCTCTGATACCAAATTGATGCAACAAGAAAATATTGCAAAGACACAAATCTTCCTTTCTAAAACCCTCATAAAATAGCCCTTATATAGAAGAAGAAAAGGTAAAAAGAAGATAATTAATACATGTATTTAAAGCACCTCAAAATCAGCCAATAGAATAACATTGAAAACCGCAACAAGCAGGGACCGAAGGGTCAGCCGCCTGGGGAAGAAATCGAAGCATCAAAATAGCCCCAAAAGTGGGGGAAAACTGAAGCATTAAATGGCTCATAAAGGGGAAACCGAAAAGGGATCTTTTGGGAATTAAAATCGGCATGGGGAACACCAAAAGGCCTCTTTTGCCAACATCAATTCTCCTCCGGTTGAGAAATCTCATCTCATGATGAGAATGCCTTAGTACATGTTGGAAAATATCAGGATGACGACGTTGCAAACTTAGGTTGAATAACAGTGCTTCCTTGATGTTCCAAATGCATTATTTCTAATCACAGATCTTTCTTTTAAAGTGAACTTTGGCTTGTTGAGTGTTTTGACTTTTTCTCTTTTTTTTTTAAAGAAAGGAAGACTCAAAACCTAAAGCTCTGATACCAAATTGATGCAACAAGAAAATATTGCAACGACACAAATCTTCCTTTCTTACAACATAAATAAATATAAACGCTAAGATTGCAGATTAAGAGACAACTTCAACTACAAATGACAAACATAAACCATAAAACTTATATATATTTTAGAGAAGAATGATACAAATGGGGCGGGAACTGTAGATAAAGAAGAAGGGATTAGAAACCGAGACGAATTATAAGAGAGAAGGAAAAGAAGTTAGCTCGCAAGCTAACACAAACCCTCAGGTTTCTTCTCCAAAAATCATCACCTAACATCCCTAAAACTGTCACAAACATCACCTATAAATAGGAAAGAAAAGGAGGCTAAAAGCCAAGCTCAACCGCCCACTACAGCTGATGCGACCAAAAAATATAGGGGACCCTATATCTCATGATCACAAAGGAGAGGCGGACTTCTACCGACGAAAATGACTAAGGACGAGAAAAGGGGCAAACAAACTCTTACATTTCAAATTAAGAAATAAAAAATGACTCTACTCTGTGCTACTGTAACCAAATTCATTTTCTCCTGGATTTTGTATAGCTCATTCTGGATTAGATATGTAGAACTTCCTTGCGGTGGAATCCATCTGCTCTTTGGAATAATTTCTTCAAGATAACTTGGCCGATTTTCTCCAACTTTAGATTCGACTTCTTCTTGATTTGGATCCTCCATTTGTTGATGAGGGGTCCATAATTTTTTAATTTTTTGAAATATAAAGGAACATACAAATCCTAAAACTCTGATACCAATTTGATGCAACCAAAATAATATTGCAAAGACACAAATCTTCCTTTCTAAAACCCTCCTAAAACAGTTACAAAATAGCCCTTATATAGGGGAAGAAAAGGTAAAAAAATAATTAATACATGTATTTAAAGCACCTCAAAATCAACCAATAGAATACCCTTGAAAACCGCAGCAAGCAGGGACCGAAGGGGTAGCCGTCTGGGGAAGAAACTGAAGCATCAAAACAGCCCCAAAAGTGGGGGGAAACCGAAGCATTAAATGGCTCATAAAAGGGAAACTGAAAAAACATCTTTTGGGAATTAAAATCGGCATGGGAAACACCAAAATGCCTCTTTTGAAAATATATATATATATATATAAGACCTCTCCAAGTGTTATATGGATTGTTTCTCTCGCCTCCACTGAAGCTTAAGAATATATGAGCAGTCTAATTCCTGCTTTGGATGGGTATGCCATCGCACTTAGACAACCCCACCCCCACACTTTGTACCAATATTTCCTTAACAAAAAAAAATATGTAAGATCTGAAATATTCCATTTTGACTATGAGGTCGTCCAAGAGTAATTGCTTTTTCCCATTTCCTCATTAACTAGTTCCTGCTTACTATAATATGGCAAAGAAAAAAAGCTCCAGAAGTTCTAACATCTAGACTAAGTGTCAACATAAATCAAATAAATGAAAATAAAATTAAGAAGTGAACTGAAACCTTGAATGACATCAAACTCTTCCATTGATAAATTAGATATATATATATTCCAAGGCAGTTGTAATAAGATCAGCTTATTATGAAGCATCAATTAATCTACTAGAACAAAAAAAAAAAAAAAAAAAAAAAAAAAAAAAAAAAAACTAGGCAGGTAAGCATCTGGAATCATACCATGAGACCACCAAAGAATCCATCTAGTATAATCCTATTCCAAGAATCAAAGTAGTTTCCGACAGAGAATTTGGCCTTAGCCAAAAGTCCCAACGAAGCAATTGCCATGATTAACAAGTAAAACACAAAGCCCGTTAAACCTGTAAAACCCCAAATTCCAGCAACCACTCCACCCATGATTGACAAGAAGGTACGACTGCAGAAGAAGAAGAAACCCTCATCAGGTTTTGTAAGGATCAAAATTATCATAATAAGATTAAACATAAGTTTCCAGCTGAACTAAGGAAAACAAATTATATTTTAGCACAGTAAAGCAGGCTAGTCTCAAAGCAGAAAATGACAAAAAAACTGTGCATAAAGTAGCTGCTTACTCAAATATCTTCAGATGCTTCTACAGGTGAACAGCATGTCACTCAACTTATAGCTTTATACATAAGTTGTCAACAACAGAAGAAAAAAATGCTCCAAATAAAATTTTAAAGCTAAACATCTCACCTGCTGTACAATCAAATATCCATCATACCATTTAATTTTCACGAAAAAACCATGAATTATTTTTCACTGCATCCTAAAAATTTAGGAATCATAACCAAACTTGAATCTTCCATTCCAATCGTACCTTCAAATGGACTTATACACAACCAAGAATCTTACATAATTTTTTTAAGTGAATAAGATAAATCTAGCTGAACAAACAAAAGTGGTGCTATGATTGTAAAATTGAACAGATCTTGCTTGGCACTGCGCTTCTTTGAGAATAGTACTCTTAGGAAGAAGAAGTCCCAATAAGTCTGGTTATGACTCTGTGTTTTCTAGGATTGAGGGCTTGATGACTTCTAACAGAGAATTGTTATGCTCAACTTTCTACCCAAATTGATAGTGATCGTCTTATCCAGATTGAGGCAAAGTTGAATTGGCATGCCCTCACCCTTTCGTGTAGCCTTTAGAAGTTTGCTAATGATATTCAGCAAAGGCCAATGAACATAGGAAAGAGACATCTTGATGAGAAAGTTTTCGGAGATATAAATGATGAACCAATTTGCAGCAAGGGTTCATTCTTCACCAGCTCATCAAATGATGAGATCCCCTCACAAGATTGCACTTGATCCATGTTTTCACTGCATGATGACAGGAGCTTCATTGTCTCTCTATGATAACTTTAAGATATCTACTGTTGGTCCAAGTCATCCTCCAGATGCTGGGCTTGAGCCTTGGTGGTAATCATCGCCCCTTTTTTTTAACTTGTTGAGAAGTTTCACAAAGATACAAATAATGTTAATAAAGGATGTTAGTTGAAGCATTGGGCGTTTGCAATTTCTTTTCATTTGATTTGAAGTAATAGAATTTTCATCTTCAATGAAATAAAAGTTTCTTTTCTTTTTTAAATTTATCTATGATTATAAGATACGCTTAAAAACTTCTAGAAATTAAAATTATTTGCTTTGTATATTCACCTTGCATATGTGAAGTCAGAACTCGTTGAGTAGACAACATTCAGAATGAAGTCAGCTACTGTGAAGTTGGTCCTTCGTTATGAAATCGCACATTTCCTATGAAGTCATCTTTGAATCGTTGAGAAAATGAGTTTGACTTAGTCGAAAGTGGTTCCCTATCCACCATTTGAACTTCCCAGAGTCGGTATGTAAGGATAAGAAGTTTTTTTCCAAATATTTGATTGTCAAATCAATGATTATGATTAAGTTTAATGAATCAACCTTATTGATGTGATAGGGTTTTCATGTTCTCGTGCCTATAATACGGATGGATTTTTGGCATTAGATCTCTTTATGCTTTCTACATCTATAGCTTCTGCTTCTATTATCTTCTTCTTGCTTTCTCCTAACACATAATTTTGGTTTAGAGACGTGACTTCAGTGATCAATTGCACTGAGAACTTTGTGAAAGCATAATAGCGATTAATACATCCATCAAGGCAAATAGCATATGGCTTCTTCTAGCCAAGCGGAAGGTTAGGGAAGAGTTCTCATCGAAGAACTACATGGGATAAGTTCTCGATCCATTACTGAGATGATGAGTGATGCTTCTATAAGGCTCAATTTAGACTTACGTTGCAACTTTCATTTTTCTAGAAGATCGTCAAAATTCTGAACTCTACTAAAGGCCGCCGTTTTAATGCTTTATAGTGCCGAATGTTGGCCATTAAAAGAGAAGCATAATACTAAGTTAAGTGTGGCAGAGATGAGGATGCTCAGGTGGATGAGTGGCTTTACCCTTAGAGATAGGATACGAAATGAGCATATACGTGAAAAGGTTGGAGTAGCTCCAGTAGAAGATAAGATTAGAGAGAGTCGCCTTAGATGGTTTGGTCACATAAAACGGCGGCCTTCCGATGACCCGGTTAGGAGAGTAGAGGTATTAGATTTGACTTATGTTAAGAAAGGTAGGGGTAGACCTAAAAAGACTTGGTTAGAAAATATTAGGAATGACCTTTCTTTATTAGATTTAAACGAGAATTTGACTTTTAATAGGACACAATGGAGAAAAAGGATTCATGTAGCCGACCCCACGTAGTGGGATAAAGGCTTGATGTTGTTGTTGTTGTTGTCAGGTAATAATGAATTCATTTGCTAGTGTGGTTTTCTTGGTCATCTACCTCTGTGAATAAAGGATGAAGTAAAACCAGAGCATCTTCAATAAATTGTTCATGGTGAGTCTTCAAGGAGGGTCCAATCCTGCCCATGTATAAAAGAATTAAGATTGAGGCTTGAGCAAAAAAATAAAAGATCAGAAAAATAACTATTTTTTTGTGAAGTTGGCGATGGCCAATTGAAACTTCATCGGATAAGATTTTGAAGATCAAGTTAGCCATTCCTAACCTATCCGCCGAAGAGTACCAATATTACATGGGACTCAAATGGGGACCCGAGGGTGAAGAAACTGAAGATGTCCATCTTTGACGGCGAGGACGTACATGGCTGGATCTACAAGGTGGAGCGATACTTTGCAGTCAATGGGTTGACCGAGGAGGAGAAATTGACTGCGGCAGGACTGTGTTTAGAAGTGAAGGCACTGGCATGAAACCAATGGCGGGACATGAGGTGACTCATTCGAAGCTGGAGGGAGTCCAAGGATTGTTTACTAGAATGTTTCCGAACCACTAGGGGATGAGATTTCTATGAGCAGTTCTTTGCCTTGTAAGGCGCACTTATTAGATAACATGTTAAGATAGCACTCAACATTTCTGACTTAGGTGACAAGTAAGAGACTTGGATTTTAATATCCACTCCTAATACTTATTTTGAAAAAAAAAATAATTAGTACCTAAAATATAATCAAGAATGCCATCCTACCTTATTTGTTGTTGCTACAAAGTCTAGTATCCTAGGACACCCAAATACATCTAATGACAACCACCCACTTGATCTATCCTTTTATTGTTAACATTTTTCCTTGTGTCCCTCTAATTTAGAGTAATATAATTTGTTAATTACACATTACTAAAAATAGAAGTTCATCATTTGGATTATACCCCATAAATTTTTACTTTTGAATTTTTCACATAAAAATATCTTGTTGTCTTGTTGTCTTTGTTTGCTTGTGAGCTTGAGAATTCTAGAGCTAAAATAACCACAACATTGCTTCCCTCTCCAAGTCCATAGGAACTTATATACAACAACATACAACAACAACAAATCTTTATCACACTACGTGAGGTCGGCTACATGAATCCTTTTTCTACATTGTGTCCTATAAAGAGTCAAATTTTTATTTAAATCTAATAAGAAAATAACGTTTATAATATTTTCTAACCAAATATTTTTAGGTCTACCTCTACCTTTTTTAACATGGGTTAAATCTAATGCATCTACTCTCCTAATCGAGTCATTGGAAAGTCAACATTTTATTTTTCAAAACCATCTAAGAAGACTCTCTCTAATATTATCTGTCATTGGAGCTACTCTAACCTTTTCACGTGTATACTCATTTCACATTTTATCTCTAAGAGTGAAGTCACTCATCCACTTGAGCATCCTCATCTTTATAACAATTAACTTGTATTCTTCCAATGGCCAACATTTTGTGCCATAAAGCATTGCAAGTCTCACCACCATCTTATAAAGTTTTTCCCTTAAGTTTGAGGGGTATTTTTCTATCACACAACAGGCCCAATGTATTCATCTACTTCAACCACGCAATATAAATTATACTAACAATATGGTCATCTATTTCACCATCATTTTGAATAATAGACTTGATATATCTAAAACGTGTACTATTATTAATGACTTGATCGTCCAAAATCACAATCCCCCCACTAGATCTAAAATACACTCCATGTCTTTGGTTTTAGGTCTATTCAAACAAAAACCTTTAGACTCTAAGGTTGACCTCCATAATTCAATTTTTTCTTCAATTCCCTCTCTAGTCTTATCCTCAAGAAGAATATCATAAGCAAAAAAACATACACTAGGTACATCCTCTTCTAAATATCTAGTAAGAACATCCATGACTAAAGCAAAAAGATATGGGCTTAAAGCTGATCCTTGATATAATCCAACTAAAATAGGAAAACACTTGGTCAAACCATCTTGTGTTTGAACACAAGTAGTAGCTCCTGCATACATTTCCTTAATGATTTGAATATAAGCATTATTAACTCTTTTCTTTTTCAAAACTCTCCAAAGCACTTATCACTTGTAGATCCTCCTTATTCTCTCTATACTTCTCCATCAAACCTCTCAATAAATTAAACTTATACAATAGACCTATCCGGCATGAATCCAAATTGATTTTGAGAAACAATAATATTGTATCATAACCTATGCTCAGTAACTCTCACCCATAGTATTAATATATGATATATTAACTTAATTCCTCTATAATTTGCACACTCTTGTGCATTACCTTCATTTTGAAACCTAGGAATCAACACATCTTTTTCTCCACTTATCTGACATCTTTTTAGTCTTCAAAATAATATTGAATAGCTTCATAAGTCAAGAAATTTCTTCATCTACTATGCATTTCTGCACCTCTATTCCAAATAGCTTTTTCACACTTCATTTTCTTTAAAGCCTCATTAACTTTAGTTTTACTAATACGATGATAAAAACAAAATTTTCTATTTTCATTTAGGATTTTAAGGTCACTAAATTCAATCATATTCTCACATCTTTTCATCCAAAAGCTTATCAAAATATATCATCTACATTATTGAATATCCTATTATAGTAA